TTATTTAGCTGTCTTGTCTGTGTGTGTACTTTAAATAAAATTCTCCTTTTTGAATTTTATTGGTGCACTTTAAGTGTATTTATTTATTAGTCAATTTATATATTTCCGCTTTTTTTTAAATTTATGTCAGTGTTGGCCCTCCGTACTGCAGAGGCCTGATAATCATCCATTCATTCAAACCAGGTGTGTTTGAGCAGAGAAAAGTAAAACCTGCAGGACCAGGATTACCCACCCCTGTTTTAAATCATTCACTTATGGTCTATTTAAAATTCACACACCAGAACCGAACATTTCAACTTCTGAACCTGCATCTTCGGCATGACGTGATTTGAACTACAAAATGACAGCGAGGGAAGAAAATGGCGGACTATGAAATCCAGTTGGCCACAAATACGTTACCATAAATGGTGGTTCTGAAGAGAAAAGTGACGAAACGAACAAGACGAAATGAGCAACAGCAGCAGATTTTGAACAAACTGAAAAATTTGACCCATAAAATAAAAAATATCTTTGCAGTAACTGGACAGAATAAATTAAACTTTTCTACACTCTTAGACGCTATACCTGCACAAAAATAGTTTATAAATGCAAAAAACAAAGTGCATTTAGCATGATATGTCTCCTTTAACACCACATCAGACTGGTAGTGACACAGTTCTGTCCCCAGTTAATTTAGGTCTGCTAATGGAGAGGATCCCAGGGGGTCCTCTGGATCCAGCCTGGGGTCCGCAGAGCATCAGGATTAAATAGATGCCAGCTAAATTTACCCATCCTCAGATTGACTGGAGACAGGAAGGAGGGGCAGAAGATGGCCAGAGGGAACAGTAAAGTACTGTAAGGACAGATTTTAAAGGATGACCCTGAACGCACCACAGTCACACATGCTTTTATACTGAAAATCCACCTTTTTATCCTTGATTTTTAACTCTAATGTTACTTTGGGAGCCAGAGGAGCTCCAATATTAAATATTTACAGGTAACCTTCCTGGTTTTTGTGTCTTCAGAGAAGAGCAGCACATGTGAGGAATAATTATAATAAATAAAATAAATTAATGTTGTTGTTCCAGCAGGAGACCTCATCTAGTCTCTGCAAGGAAATCTGACCAAAAAAGGTCATGAGAGAGCAGAGAGGCCCCACCAACAAAACTCAACTTTATACAAACATTAAGTATAAAAACAAAGAAAAGCAGCCATTTTAGATTTGTTTATGCAAATTAAAACTGATTAGCTGGACTGAATGACAGGAAGTGTCACATAAACAAGTTCAGAACAACATATACTATAATATAAAGAGGATAAGTGAGAGATGTCACATAAAGTAATGAAACTTTGATGACAGTAAAGCTGTAAATAAAAAACAGGAAAAACGACATTAAGCGACGGAGGCGGCGCCGCGGAGGATCAAACACGGAGCTTCTTCTATAATTTATCTTATTTTAAATAAATATCTGTAAGTACTGTCGAGTTTCAGGCTCGTCTTACCGTCGTGGGAAACTTAACTTCAGATGTCGGCGTGAAACGAGCTCATTCACAGTCAGCCCGTCCGAACTTCTCAGGGAAGTTGTGAGACCGAGCCTCTGCCACGCGGCTCTGGTCCAATCAGAAACGAGGATGGCTCTGATCCCGCCCCTCGCTCACCGTCTCAACCAATCACGGCTCGAGTTGACATTTCAGATATTTAAAGGGGCTCAAAGTTGACTGACAGGTGGTCCTGAACAATCAGGATTGAGTTTTTCTTTTTTTAATGAAGTAGCAAAGTTTCAACTGATCCTTTGAAATCAATCAATCAATCTATCTATCTATCTATCTATCTATCTATCTATCTATCTATCTATCTATCTATCTATCTATCTATCTATCCATCCATCCATCCATCCATCTGTCTATCTATCTATCTTTCCGTCCATCTATCCATAAATAATTCTTAAATTGTTAAAATGCCTGTTGAATTATAACCCTTAAATGTAGCCACTTTAGTTGGGAATTCATTAGTGGGTTCAGTTTGGGAGTTATCTTTTTTACTGGTGTGGTATTTTTATGAAAATAATTTGGTCAGTTCGTTCATTGGACACATATGGGGCCAGAGTAACATGTGGAAGAACCCTACACAGCCACACTCTGGTCACACTGCTGTCAGATCCCATTCTTCAGCCAGTATTTATGTTTCCTCTGGAACAAACTGGTGAAGCTCATGTGCTTTACAATACTTATAATGAAATGTTCATATATTCTAACAAGTAGGAAAACAGATTTGTCTCTTGCAAATAACCTCAACACTGTGATTTAATTATACAATAAAACAGAAAGAAAGACGATTTCTTTGGTTTGTAAGTTTATTTATTCAGGTGCCTCGTTTTTGTTCCTAAAAACTCCAGAACCAGCTCAGAAAAGTCAGTCCACTCATGGATTTAGGTGTTGAGCAGATCTGATTCCTGAAAACAAAATGATCTATTATTTAGAACAAATATCCAAACACAACATTAACAACTGATACATTACTTTGATGAGTTCACCATTCAAACTAATGTATCTGTTGGAAATAATGACTTTACTGTGAACTCATTACTTTATGTACTAAAAAAATCATCTACACCGTAAAACAAGTTTACTTACTGTTTTTATTGGTGTTGAACAAACGGTTCTGTAGATAAAGAAGATAAATCTTCAGTCCAGGATCTCTTTGATGCACCAGCAGCACAGGAGGAAATAAAGGCACTCCTTAAGCGACTGGACGAAGCCGTAGGCCAAGTTGCCCCCGAGGAAGTTCTTGCCCCGTCCCAGACCCATGGCCAAGTTCTGCAGGTGCTGCCCCGCCGAGGGGGAGGAAGAGGCGGGCATGGCCTGAGGAAGAGGACGCTGAGGGTGCATGCCTCCAGATCTGACAACCAGAGGAATTAAAGTATGATTCCTGGGAGCTCACTGCTTCTCTGCCTCTACTAATAACCTCTGTCCACAGGAAGCTGCTTCCACTCACATCCAGCGTTTACTTTGTGTTGCATCGCTCCACAACAACAGGACTTCCAGTGGCTTCAACACAACAACACCCCGCTCTTTGTTCAGAACAGTTCACAACAAACTCTGGCACCATATGCTTTGTTACAGACACACAATCAGCTTAAATAAATTAATAAAACTATCAAAAAGGAGGATGATGACAGATATATGTATTTAGATATGCAAACTAGATTTTCAGGTACAGGTGTAAACAGACAGTTCCTTAAAAACACAAACAAAACAAGTATCATAACCAAAAATAATATTATATATATATATATATATATATATATATAAAGTGAAAATTCAACATGTGTGCACACAATTCAAAGGAACATTTGGCTTTTGAAAAAGTAGAACAGCATCATCAACACAATGATTGCCGTTGGGTCAATGAACCACAAAGTCTCTTAAAAAAGTTTTTCATGCAACAAAAAGGCAACTGTGACAAATGATGACCGCACACCAAAAACACAAAATCAAAATGGTCGGTTCCAGCAAACACACACACACACACACACACATGCACACACACACACGCACACACACAGGTGTTCCTATCCGAACAGTCGTCACTCAGGTTATGTGTGCACGTTTGAACTCGTCAACTCTTAAAGTGACAGTTCAGATATTATGATGCGAGGCTACAGATTAGCTCTAAGCTAGCTGCTGTCGCTGTCACAATTTGTCACAAAAATCTAAATAAACAAACACATTATGAAATTCAAAGATTAAAAAAATCAAAGTTTCATTGAACCGTTATGAAAACTGAGATCTTATTTGTTTTAAGGTGGCAGAATCTGCTTTGGTCTGAGGCCTGCTTGAGATAACCGTTAGCTCGTCATGCAGGGAGAATTAAAAACTAGTTTTACCCAAAACTCAGGTCTCTACAGAGACCCCGAGGGGACATCAGGGCATTTTTATTTTTTAGTACTTCAGAATTCTTTTGCATTACTTGGCAGTACTTTTTGCTCTCCCACACATAGATTTTGCTTTATGTCGCAAAAGTTTTGCTACGTCAAAATACTTTTTCTGTTCCCACGCAAACTTGGCGTTCCTTCTCAATACTTTTACCTTGCAGTACTTTTCAGCGCACCCAACATAAGCAATAATTTCTGCGTTACCTTGCAAAAATTTGCGCTCGAGGCAACAACATTTTGCATTAACTGTACTGGATGAGACTTTTATTTTGAAATGTCCAGTTACAGGATACGCCACTACCAGAAATTTGCGCGGCTGTGATACGTTTATAGGGACTTTGATAAATGCGCTGCCCGATCCCGGCAGTGTGTGGGTCAGGTTCTTATGATTTTTTTTCACTTGTTTTTATCCTTACCATTTCAAAATCTATCTTAAGGTTTTATCTACTTTTTTTCTGTTTTGGTTTGAAAAATCGTTGCGTAACTGTGACGCGCACTGTGTCTACGGAGATCTGCACTGTTTTTATCTTTTAACGTAAGTCAATGGAGCACTTGCTTCCTAGTTTTCAGCCTTTAAAGACCTCTATGCCCCTTTTCCATTAGTGCCACTTAGTGTAGTGTCGGAACGGGTCAGTGTCAGAACGGGTCAGTGTCGGAACGGGTCAGTTCGGGTGCTTTTCCACTGACGTTCTAGTCCGGTTCCAGTGGGTGTGTTGTGGGAGGTTGGTGGAGGTGGTTTTTGGGTTTTTTGAAGAAGAGTTAATGCGCAAAATGAGAGATGGAAACACATTTGTTGAATAAGTTCTGAAATTTAAAAAAACTGCTAAAAATTTTAATTTAAATTGAATAGAAACGTGACTAATGTCGCTGCTAAGATTGAAAAAAAAAAAAAAGGCGCCTCGAGTATTCTTGTAAAGGCAGTTCAGATGCAACCAATGACCCCCACCTCCTAGCCAATCAGTGACCAACAGTGTTCTTATGTTGCATTTTGGTGTCAACTGGGACCGCTTGGTACCACAACCTAGTAGGTACAAAAAAAAGGGCCGGTTCCGTGAATCTGGCCAAATGGAAATGGCTTGGAACCGTACCGACAATAATCCTTAACGGGGTCCGATTTTAAAAAACTTAAGAGCCTTACAAGTACAAAAAGGGAAAAACAGCACTAAAATAAATTTGAAATTTTTATCCAAGTCCCTAGTTTATGCCAAAGCTGAATTAAAACGTAGTAACTCCCGTATTATCGTGCATATTTGAATTTATTAATAAACTGTCAGACACAAAATAAATGACTTTTACGAGGCAAAGCTGAATCAACAAATCCCCTGATGTCACCTGGGCTCTGTCTCGACCAGGTAAAATGTTCAGAACAGTTAACCTGTACACATCATAAGGTCTGAACCGTGCACTTCAAGGTTTACAGAAAAAAAGGCTCCCTTCTGCTAGTTCAAGATTTTGGTTTCCATCAGACATTATCATTTGGCTTTAAAACTGAACTATTAATGCTGTCTAAGTCTCTATCGCTCATCAAACAAGTCATTAAATACACAAGAAAACAACAATCCAAGAGCAAGCATATCCATCGAAAATTAAGATTATTTACAAGTCATCAAAAAATCCCCCGTTTCCCCCCACATTGGTGACATCAAGTATCTGTGACTAGAAGCTGAATGCAGGAATGTGCATCAGAGGAGATTGCCATCACTGGAGCTGTTTGTCTTGGTTCGAGTGCCACTTGTTAAAACAGAGATTCTCCTGCAGTTTTACTTCGTCTGAGTTAAGTACATAAGGTGAGTGCATCTTAAATGACATGACTGCATCCAGGAAACAAGGCACAGTAAACAGATATATACATACAGAAAACAAAAGCATGAACCGTGGAAGGAGAGACGAAAACGACGTCTCCCTTCGTGTCTTTGTAAAGTTTGAAAACAGCACACCAAGAACGTTTGGCTGAACAGTTCCAACGACAGAAACGCTCTGAAACGTGTCATTTAGATTTAAAAAAACAAAAGATTCCCCAAGACACAGAAAACAACAAAAACCATTCATGTGACACACTTTGCATTAATTTTGCTAAGAGAAACTCACTGCTTTGAGGCTTTCTGACATGTTTTCATGAAGTAACCACTTCTTGTTTCCTCTGAAGCCACAGATTGTCAATGCAAACATGTTAAGAGTTATTGAAAAGCAAAGATCAGATAAATGCATCTCTGAATGTTTTCATGACATCAGTGTACTTTAAAAAAAAAGAAAAGTCATTTCTGATGCCAGATTCAGGCACCGTCACCTCAATTATCTGCAATAAAACTGTTTGAAAAGAAAAAGGACAGATTACTGCTGATAACTGCCATGGCTTTCTGTTTTTTCCCGTCTTTAACAACTAAGTTCCTGATCTTTGGCCTGATGTGAGTGATGTGGTGTAAAGGTGTGCAGATGTACCTGTATGTGCAAACAGATCGGTTTAAATACAGCCGTTTTGGATTCTTCTGGACTCCGGATGTTGAAAATGTTTGTGATAAAAACCAAACAGAAACAAAATGAAGTAGCATAGCTGTTCTGGATTTGCATACCGGCTTTGCTCCAAGAGTGGTCAGTTCTCAAGTCTGTGACGGACTGAAGGTGGGGCGGTCCTCTGAAGACAGTAAGCAGACTTGTTTAAGCACACTGACGAGCCAGAAGACTCTCGTTACTTCTCCAGAAGGTAACAGTTTGAACTTGGTGCAGTCTCTGAAACAAACTCCTGTCGACCAGTAAAAAAAGCTCCAGCGATGGTTTGTTCCTAAACCCATTCAACTCGTGTCCTCTCTGTAGTTCAATCATGTCAGTACACATTTCCACACAATGACAGTTCTGATTCTTAATAATCACATCTTTGCGTGCATTCTTTATCTCTTTAAAAAATTTGCATTAGTTTTCTGCCTTGCTGTGACACAGAGCTCCTCCCTGGTTCACAGTAGGTCGGGGGGTGAAGGGGGGATGCAGCAGCGCTGCTCGGCGCCTGACAGTTTGTGAAGGATTGCAGGTCACAGTTTGGCAGAAATGTGGCAACAGCAGCAAGAAAAGTGATTTAGCAGAGAAACTGGTGATATTTGGCTTGTGTGTGATCAGAGATAAATGTTTTCTGCAGGAGTGACACATGTAGTGTTGCTGTGTGTGTAACTAAAGCATAAGTGTGTGTGTGTGTGTGTGTGTGTGTGTGTGTGTGTGTGTGTGTGTGTGTGTGTGTGTGTGTGTG